AATGAAAAAATGTGTACCTTTGGAGAGGAGAAAAAAAATTCTTCCGCTCTTTTCTGTTCTCCCACATGCGACAGAGAGAAGAATCACATCTTTGTGATGGAGTGCTTTTACTCCGAATCAAATGAAACTTTCGTATCGAATTGTCACAAGAAAAAAAAAACTGTGAGAAAATCCGCTGCTGGTAAGTAGCCTAAAAATTTCGGAAAGGTCGGAATTTCAAACATTTGCCTCTTTTTTCCTTCATTTTTCTTCCCCCCCTTTTTGCACAATGCGAACTAGAGGTGCGATGGATTTTAATCGCTTAGACTTAAGCCCGTATTTTTTTTTTGCTCTTTCTATGTTTTGTTGATTCTGTTGAGATTTTCAATCCTTACATAAATTCCAATGAAAAGAAAAACAAGCATTTCCACAAAAAGTCTCTGTCTGCAGATGAAGTTGAAGTGAAAATGTCATAATTGCATTCGAAAGCTGACGTTTTGAAGATAGAAAAAAAACAAATCACGTACAATGTGCGTTTGGGCAATAACCGGTTGTATGTTCTTGACAGATGACTTGTACACTTACCTTTGCCCGTAAAATTGCAGTTTTTTTCATCCTTTTCCGCAGTTGTGTTCATGTGTTCTGTTTTTGCTTTCTTGCTTACATCTCATATTTTGTAAGCCAATACAAGATGAAAGAAAATGTAGCAAATCTGTATGCTTTTTACCAAAGCAATTCCAATATTTAAGGATAAACTTACTATTTTCATGTTTAATTTAATTTCATTTGTTTGCTTTCGTTATAATCTGAAAATGTTAGCCAGTTTCCGTTATTCCAAAAAAGAAAAGAAAAACAAATAACGGGAGCAATCTCCTATTACGATTCGGGAGAAAGAGAGAAAGAGAGAGAGGATAAAGGGATCGAACAGCATCATTTTTAATCAATTCAAGTCATATCATTACATATCCTTTCAGAGCAATGATTGCATTGCCAATATTTAACATTTCGTTGTTAAACATTGTACCAGAGAGTCAAAGAGAGCGAGAGCACATGGCTTTGTTAGAATTTTTTGTTTGTTCGTTTTGAGTGCGGATCTTTGTAATTATTTTTGGATTAATCTCTCTTAAGTACTGAGGTGAAGTATTCCAAATTGATTTAAGCATTGTAAACCATCGTCGATGGTCAAAGTTTTTGGTAAGTTTGAAACACACTGGGAGAGCCACAGCAACAGCAACGGAAAAAAACACGTAAACCAGATAAAGGGATGGAATGAAAGAAAAAAAGGAAAAACCGGCTAGCAAGCTGTTGAATAAATGTAACAAAAACTGCGCTCAATGGGATGTGCGCGAGCACATTTTTATTTTCATCGTATCTCCATTACAGTGAATTTCTTTGCAATCAAGGCAAATGAATTAATGAATGAGCATTTCGGATTGGTTTCAATCAATGATAAACCTTCTATTGATAAAAAACGGCGCTTATTTTTCGTTATCGTTTTGCGTTAACCCCTCGGCTCTCTGCCATACACTCGTATGCCGTTCACATTTCATTTAGTTGGTTTCCAACGATACAAAACAAAATATTGTGCAGTATTTGCTTGGATGTTTGTCGTTTGCTGACAACAGTGGAACAATAAAATGGCATGAGCAAAAGAAGATTGAGTGGAAAAAACAAGATTTTTGTGCTAGTTGCCTTCGTGTTTTCGTGTACACTTGCCAATGCTCATCGCATCTCTGCATTGAATATTTATTGAAATTTGTGTGCGTTTGTGGTTTGCATTCTTAAACATGCATTTAACCATTTCGTTGTAGCGAGCTTGTTAATAGCGTTGGGGAGATGCGAATAAGGCAATAAATAAAAAAAAATAAAAGAAATGAGAAAGAAGAATTAAAGAAAAGGAAGCTTGCGAACGAAAGACAGAATAGAAAAATGACAGACAAAGTTGTGTAGAGCACACGAAGATACAGAATGAACGAGAGAGCGACAGCAAAAGTACGAAAACATGATAAGCAAAAGCAGCAGTTACAATATAACAAGGGCAAAGTTGCAAGTGAAGAAAAATGAACATGGTTCTCAAGTACTCGACATGAAGTTAGTGCTTTCTCTCTGTGGTTGCTATCGTCGTCGGAGCGCGACTGTCGCTGGTTGAATAATAAAGCATCGGGAATGGATAAGAAAGAAAATATAAACACACTATGGTGAATGAGCAATGAATGGGGCAAATGTTTATCTATACGTGTGTTCAATGTTCATTCACTGACTCTTTCTCTCATATCACTATCTCTATCCATCTATCTTTCGTTCATTTCGGTAAAAATGGGCGCTGTCGTTGCCGATTCGCATCGTTAGAGCGAAAAAGTAGCAACAACGGCGGAAACTTTTGAATTGGATAGCTTGGTGTCGAGGCAAAAGCTCCTTTATACACTCATATTTAAATCCGAGGCAATGTAAAGCAAACACTTCAAAATTAAACGTATCACACATACACACAAAGACGAACCGAAGAGGGCAACACCATCACCAAAAGCAGCAACAATAGCGACAACTATAAAAAAAATATGTTGTGGCATATACAAAACACACGTTAAAGAAAAGAATTCAAACAACAAGAGAATGCAGGGATAGACGAAAAAAGAGTGGAAAAATTATAAAAGAAATGAAGCTCTCGGTGAGAGAGAAATAAAGAGAGAGAGAGAATGGCAAAAACGACAAATGATCCACTGATGAAAATTTCAAGCAGTTTATGCGATCAACAAAATGATATATGTACGCATTAACCATTTTTGAAATGCAACGCGCGCGCGTCTCAATGTAGTATAAAACGTGTTCGCTCACATATTCAAAGCTGAAGAAAGAAAATGTCGACTAAAAGAAAAACTATAACTTGTAAAAAAGTAACCTCTCTAACTGGATCGAATAATAGTGCCCAGGCAAGGAAAAGTAAAATTTTACACACGACTCATAGCGTGAGAGAGAGAGAGAGTGAGGGACAGTGAAAAAATAAAATAAAATAAAGGACAAAATACAGCGGCAAGTAGGAAAAGGAAAGAGCGGAAAAAAGAAGAAGAGACGAGCCACATAAAAACAAACAACCGAGTTTGTTGTTTGAGAAAGCAGATTGGAATTCGTGGTGATAGTTTTTGTGACTACGTGCACTCTCGGTAACTGTGCAAACAAACATTTCGCAAACACACGACCGACAACACATTCGCTCATCTATATTTTGTGACCATTGCATAAGTTTTTGTTTTAATTTCTTATGCGGTATATGAATCCCACTGTTATAGTCATTCCCATCCTCATCGGCGTCGTTGTTGCCGTCGCCGTTGTCGTCATCGTAATCGTGGTGTAAGTTCTCTATGTTACAAAAGCGTCATTGCGAATCTCAATGCTCGGCGTTTGGTATGTGAGAGTTTCTGCAGATGCTATGATTTGTGGATATGTGAGTGTGCTTTCACAAACAAAAATATGAAAAGAAAATAACAAACTTCGTTCATTTTTTTCCGTCTGGATACATATTTCTCACTGGATTTTCATTAGTTATATCACGCTGCATCCACTCTCTTTTCCCAATCAAGAATATGTGGAAAAACATGTGAGCAAAGCGGCAGAGAAAGGCGATAGTGCCTTAACCGATTCTTTCAATTGATCATTTTTGAATGCGAAGCTATTACACATATCAATGTTGTTGTGTTTTGGACAGCAAACATGTTCCATTCCAGTTCTTTATTACATTTCAAGCTTACGTACCTCGTCTTAAGAGCACAAGGTGCAAAAACAACCAGATTCATCCAGGAAACGCAAAAGATGTGTATGGGCACGTCCCCTCCTCCAACAAACTTACAATTGAAATATATGGCTTTCTATCGAAGTTTTGGTGTTTGGCGTATATGTAAGTTTGTGTTGAATACAATTTCCCACGCAACGAACACCGAATGCTATGTGACATTTCACAAGGAAGCAACAATAATAATAACATCACCACCAAATGCTTAAACAAAAAACAAAACAAAAAATAAAACGAAAAAGCTGTCTGTACAACGTTGTCGTAAAGGAATGGCACATTGCTCGTTTAACTTTTGTCAACGTTTTGTGTGTATGTGTATGTGTATCGACCGAAACGAAAACACATCACGGTTACTGTTGTCGTGATCATCATAATCTTCATCAGTATGAGCCGAAAATATTGTGTCTTGCACTCGACTTAAATGCGACATATTCAAACACCATTCATGAGATAATCTTTGTTATTATTGTGTCGTATTTTTCGGCTACAATTCGCGTCAAAGTTTCGTACATTTCGTTTCATATCTTTATCTTTGTTTTTATTTGTGGTCATAAAATCTTCTTGTTTTTGTACAATAGTAGAAAAGAACCCAAATATCATTCATATCGAATAATTAAACGGTCGACAATCATCAAACATCAGACGTTTATAAAACGTATGCAATATGCAATCCTTCTATCATCGTTATTATCGTGGATATTTTGCACAATAATAATTGCCAAAACGCGCTCAGTGGAACCTACAGAAATCGAAGTTTATGTGCTTACGTATACATTTGTTTATTGTTTTTGGTGATTTGATGGTGTTATTTCGAATGGTCTGTTGGTTATTATTTCGTATAAAATTCTTGGGGTCGTCCCTTGCTCAGTTTGTCTATGTCATACACACATTGAGATTCTGGCTGCCACAGTGGCGGCCGTTTAGAGCACTTTATGTGTGTGTGTCTTTCTTCCTGTGTGTGTCTATGTGCCAATGGTGCGTTTATACATTATATATTAACGGTGTAAGTTTTTGGTTACTGTGCATGTGCGTGTGCATAAAATGTGCATAGTCCGTGCAATTTGTGGTACTGTGACTTTTTGGATAGGGATTTTTTTTTTAAGTTGAAGCATATAGGTTTCGTTGCCATGTTTTTGGCTGTTGTTTATGTTCGAAGTTTTTTTTTGTTTGATGTCCTCTGTTTTCTGATTTCCGTTTTGCCTAATGACAAACTAAATAACAATAATGAACTTACATTATGACGCCAGCTGACTTTGTACACCCAGGGATTTGATTTAATATTGCACTCAAAATATACATCGGCTCCCTCGCGTATAAAGGATGTGTTTAAATTAGTTCCAAACTCAAGAGTAACAACTGGTGTATCTGTTTGGATTTCGTTTTGTTTTCAATTTAGTCGTTATTTTGTTGTAGAAAAAAAACGTTTGGTGCGGGACGGGCGATGTTGTTGATTACGTTGTTTTTCGGTTGTTCGTTCGTTTATTCGTTGCATGTTATTTTATGTCGTATATCAGCGAATACATAAAGAAGACATGATCATTGGTGAGATTTTGTTGTTGTCGTTCAGGTTTAGTTTTATTGTATTTTCATCAGAAGCAGCAGCAGCAGCAGTGAAGGTTCCAGGTTATGTCAAGCGTTGCAAATAAAGACGAATATGCGATGAGCGCGCGCCAAAAATCAGCAATCCAAGTTCCGTGCATGGCATACAAAAAAAGAAAAATATAAAGGACAATAAACGAATGAGTGAGTGACTGAATGAATGAACGCTTTTATACAAAATATGTAAATGAATAAGTAACAAGAAATTTGCTTTGCCCCTTTTCATGTTCTCGCGAAATGAACATCATCATCATCATTCAAAAACTTCAGATCTTTTGAGATTTTTCCTCGTTGCATTCTCATGTCTTGCGTCAATCTATCAGTCTATCTACGGCAACTGACTCAGTCGTCTTCAAATAATAATATACGATTACATTGTACAGTTTTCGCGTCGATTGCTGTGCATGTGTACATTTTTATGTGCAACACTTTTCACACTCATTGAGACGAACGAAGGAGACGAAAATATGTGCATGCGAAATATGTTGTACATATATAACTGGATGTATACTACATTATGATTGTAAATGGTGACAGGGGGTATGTGAATGTGCTTGCACAATTCGCACAGTATAAAAGCTCATATAGTCGAACAACATATAGGAATATCAACCACAGCTAACGAAAACAATAGAAAAAATAGTGCAACAACAAAACCAGCAGTAAAAATGAACGCAGCAATTTAAACGCCGAACGTACGTATGAAATGAAACGCGCAAACAAAAAACGAAGGCAGCGTATAAAATAACAGAAAATATTCATAAACAGAACGAACATGGCAACAGTGGCAGCAAGTAAAATAACACACAACTGTGTGCATTTTATAAAAGTGATGCGGGATAAATGTGGAATTAAAGCAGCTACAAAATATGAATGGAATGAAGAGAAAGACAGAGAGAGTGAGAGAGAGAGAGAGACGACAGAAAAAAAGAGAACGTGAACTAAAATAAAATGTTTGCTATCTCTGTCGTGACTTTGCTGCCGATTCACTTTTGGTATCTCTCTCACTCACTCATATCGGTGGTACCCGTTTGCCATGCAATGAGGCGAAATGATGAAATAAATATCATCAGCGATTCTTGACTCACATACGCGGACTACTCGCATGTGCGCTTAAGTTTGCGAAGAAAAACATTATATCGAAATGAAAATAAGATCCTCTGCCGTTGTTGCTGCTGTTACGATAGAGTGTTGAGGGATCTGGGGTCACTCTTTTCTTTTCCATATTCCCGTATACATTCTACTCACAGTAAGTATATGTATTTTGTGTTATGTTACGTTCGCTGTTGGACATTTATTTTCCCCGAACGAAATAAAAAACGCAGAAAAAATACACTGTATTTTTTCCGAACATCTTGTTTTTTTTTATCTCTTTGTAATAAGAACAAACACAATAAAAAAGTGGTTTTATTTTTCAAAGACTTTTCTCCTTATTTTTTTTTTAACTTTAGTTATACTCATTTCAGGATTGTAAAACATGTACATTTGTTCACAATATTTGTGCCATCTCCTCTTTTTTATCCTGATCAGTGTGCCGCCATTTGTTTGTTAAATTTCTAAGTTTGTCACTGCGTGTGGCTGCCGCCGTTTTATTGATACATATAGGAAAATTTTTTCTATGTCTTTTTTTGTCATTGACATGAATCTTGCATGAATCGCGGGTCGTCGTGGAGAATCTAGAAAATTGGCAAGATTAATTTGGAATTGGGTGCAAAGTTGGTCGGCGTGTGTTTCTTGCGTCAGTCCATCTTTTCACGCCGGTTTCAGCGAATAAAAAATGAAATATAAAAATGAATCATAGAGAGAAACGACGACCCAAACAAACAAACTTATTACGAGGATTACATGAGCTTTTCGAGCTAATTTAGTTTAAATATGGTATGACAAGACCATCGTGTTACAATGGCACAAATAATATTTCTTTACGTTGGGAGAGAAAATGCGCTTCGATCTTCATCACACAATGTCGTACAATTGCCACCATTATTATCATTCGTGCTTTGCACATTCTTGTGACTGTGTTGCACAAATCGTACTTTCAAAAGATAAAGTGTTTTGCGGCGCGCTCGAGAAAAAAGAAGAAAAAAAAAACAACAACAACAAACGGAAAAAATTACTTTTCGTAATGATAATTTATTTTGTAAGTGGGGTTTCTTGCCTTTTCGCGAATACATCGGCCTCATTTCAGGCGAGCAATTTTTATTTTCATTTGTTTTCGCATTGAGTTTTCACTCGTTGGGCTGGTTCACAGCTGCAAGACAGAATTTATCTTGAGCTTAACCACAGAAACTGATTAGGCACATTGGAAGCCATTGTAATTTTCAATGCAAAAATGACACACTCGAAACGACTCACATTCGAAAAAGCCATCATCGAATGCTTTGGCAAATTTATTCATTTAATTTTCGTTCTTTCTAGCTTTCGTTGACTTCATTTTTCCGACGAATAATATCGAATAAAACTCCATAACGCGATAATGTATTTGGATGCGCCAAAATGTGTCACATACACACACACTCACTTACAACTTAAATTACTGGAATTGACTTTTGAAATATTTATTCGAAAATTCCAATTAAAATTCGCTCATTGATGCTTTTGCCAAATTAGAAAAAAAGATGTTGTGTAAAGGCGAATAAACCGCACCACATCGCATTCACATTCAAAAGTAATTGTTCTAAATTTGTAAAATGGAAAATGCCACAAACGGAATATGAAAAACGAAATAAATAAGTAGGCAACAATGGTTCGCATATTTCCCTTTCTCAGTAATAGAAACCACCCAAAAAAAATGTGAATATATATATGTATATGTGTGCACAATCCGAATTCAATATCATTTTGGCATGTGAAAAGCGTAAAAGAAGGGACGAAAAAAACTATGAGCCAACCGATAGCGATATTCGAATCAACCGGGAGAGAGTCGTAAATATAGATAGTCCAATGTGAATGTGTGTGACACAATCAAAACTTTATAACTGACTTATTTATTTTTATTTCAATTTTATTTCGTTTTCTTTGCGAACGAGATGAACTCACAGCAGAAGTGGCTTTATAAACGGAAATAGATGGCGCAATATTTATCAAATAAAAGAAGAAATAGAAAAACGCTCTTATCACTCGCTCCTTTTCCTTTTTACCCTTGCCTAAAAAAAATTCAACCGCATTTTCAAAGCTCGGAAATTGGAAATTTGAGTTTTTTCTTCTTCTTCTTCTTATTCTTTCAATCGGTTGTTACTTGCATTCGCCAATAAATGCAAATTCAAATCGAAGTTATCCAAAGTCGTTCTTCTTTTTACATGCATCCGGTCTTATATTTATTTCCTTGTGAATTTTCCAGTACATTATTTATAAAATTTAGTAAAAACCACACTATATGCACAAACACGCAACGATTTTCTTTCGATCAAATGCTTAAGAAAGGGAAAATCACCATTGAAATAATGTAAAAAAAAGAAAGAGAAGGAGAAAGATTGAGTGCAAAACCAATTCGAAAAAATGGCGACAAAAATAATATAGAAACTCGAACAATTTCGCATTTCAACAACCAATGAAATGCATCGTATGATTCGCACGTCTCCCTACAATTGAAAATAACTTACGAAAACTGTACATTATAACGAACGACTGAGATGAATAGTGTGTATGTGTTTCGATGAAAAACTACTGAATGTGTATTCGTGTCCGTTACAAGACTTAAACTAAATTATTGTATGTTTTATACTTACGATAAATGTCCAATTTCCAACCGTCTTCGGTGCCTGACTCTGGTATAGATGTATGTTCAGCACGGCATGACAAATACTTTCCTCGATCATCAATGGTTGGAGTGAAACTCAATACAGATTGCGTGACATTACCATCGGTCGAAATCTGTCATTTTGGTGTGCATGCAAAGGAAAATGGAGAAAAAGAGAGAATTATTATGTGTGGGAGAGTGTGTGTGAGAGAGATGTATATACATATATACTGAGAGAAAAGTGACAAAAAAATGTAAGTGAATTAAGAAAACCAGTAGTAAATCGGTACACAAACAAACATATGCAAATGTAAATGCCAATACCAATAATAAAATAGATAAAAGCGAATGTGAATGTGAATGCAAATGCAAATGCAATTTCAAGTTTCGAATTCATTGAAAATGTTAAAGCGCGCTTTAAATCATTCCCATAAAACGACTATTGAATAATGACTGCAGAATACAACAACTAATTTTCTAGATTGTTTTTGTCATTCTCCCTCGCCTCCTGTCTTGTGTGTGTGATTGTATTTTCTTTCATGAAAATCTGTTCTGAACTTCTGTTTTGTTTACACTTTTCCGGAAAAAAAATGAATATAACAACACTGAAACTCTCTTTCCATATTGTTCGCATCGCATTTAAAAGCATCTTCGTTTTTTGCATTGTTGCACTGATATTTCAGCGAAAAAAAAAAAAATACGCAAAAAAAAACAATTTATGAAATAACATCTGCTATATCGATTGTCGAAAAATATGTCGATGATAAAAAAAACGACAAATGGGATCGAACAAATGTCGTTAAATTTTTAGCACATTATTTTAACTTTGAACTAAAACAGTGAAAAAAATATCCATCACATGGCATAAGCAGCAGCAAAGCGCATTGCATTGAGTGCTCTGTATTTGCTTCGTTTATTTTGTCACCCGACAAATTTATGTCATGCAATTTTCGCACAATTTGCTCTTTCCTCAAGTTTGCCTCAATCTATTTTCTGTTTTCATCCTTTATCCGCCACTCGATTCTTTATGTCCCCGTTCATTTGTGTTCGGTTCTCTCTTTCAATAGACAGTAAAACAAGAAGTGACGTCAAATATTTTGCACGGCAAATACAACTTCTAATCAACTAATATATTCGTCGAGCAAAACGTCTGTATATTATGTGAAAATAGATGTGTTTTTTTTTTGTTGCTTTTTTTATTTTGAAGTGTGTGTGCATCGTTTTCTGTTCGACTACACGAAATAACATTGTCCTACATCATAAATTTTGTTTCATACATCTAATAAATATTGAACTTAATATATATTTTTAATAAAAAGCCATTGGCAGCAAGTGTAGAACAACAGTTGCCAATGATATCATCGACAGTTGCTGTGCTATATGTCAGACAAGTTCTGCATGTGTTAACTCTTAACTGTGTGCATTTGCCATCGAGATAGATAGAGAGAGGGGGAGTACTGTAAGTTGTTAATACTATTGCTGTTGGTGCTAGTTTTTAGTGGACGAACAAACGACAAACCACTGCCCCAATGGCACCCATACACCAACTTCATTTGGTTGTTCCTTGTTTGTTTTCTGTTTCTCGATAAATGGTATTGAATAGTATTTTCTCTGCTAGTAATAAAGTTCATAACAGCAATTGGATTTATGCGCGCTATACGGTAATATTGGGCAAGAGCGAGAGAGAGAGAGAGAGAGAGAGAGAGAGAGAGAGAGAGATGTAGAGGAATAACAAGAAGTTAGAGAAAATCGGCTGGGATGGGCAAACGGATTACCATTGTTGATTTTCATTTTAGCAATTCTACGGGGCAATAGGGAAAAGTTAGACAGGTTATGAATCTCATCGCCCTTTTCTTCCTTCGATCACTCGCTCTCAATTATTCACATCATACATAAATATTTCAAAAGTTTTTCTCGTTTTCTTTGCTTCTTCAGCTCCATCTCTCCCCGGATCAACGGAATGTTCTGTTGATGTTGTTGTATTGTGCGCGCATGTGTTTTATACATATGTTCGCCTTTTTTCCGTTGCCGGGTATAGATTCAATTCGATTTTGTTAATCTTAACCTTTTGTAGAAGGGACAGACGAATTGAAATTGATCGGCTACATACTGGCCAATGAATTGAATACTCGTCGATTATTTTAAGTTTTTGATGATTCCAAGGATTCTAATGTTTTGTTAATATCTTCTCGTAATTATTGTGTGAGAAGTTTCGGTAGATTTGTGATATATATGTTTATTCGATCGGAAATGGGAATTCAACAAATGACGGTATTATTCTCTCTAACTCACTTGCTCCCATCGTATTCATTTCAACAATAAGCTCTTCAATTTCGGCAAAAAAAAAATTGTTTCGACTTTGTGAAATCCCTTGTGACGATTCAATTTGGTTTTAAATGAGGAAAGTATGCGAAACGCATCGATGTGCAGCGAATGCCAAGCAACCAATTAAATATTTGTTGACTGTGATCTCAACATTATTACCTCCACCCCATCTCTTTTAACTCCCATCTCATTGTTGGCTTTTAAACATTTTAGTTTTATCAAATTCGATCCAGACAGATTTTTGGCATTATACATTCATATGTTTAGCAGATTAAACATACACATTTGGTTTTTAGATGATAGATTTTTATTCAAAGTTTACCCAAACAAAAATTGCTTATTTTTGGCATCCTTGCGATTGATACAACGTCCATTTCAAAATTAATCGGCAAGTTTGCGTTTTCTACTATTTTCGTGTGCCATCGAAGAAGAATCATGCCAAAAATCATTCGCGTCGGATTATTAAAAATTTATATTTAGATGATCAAAAATTTGTTCACTAAAAACAGAAACTAATGGGCTCAAACTTTTTGCATGACAATGTATGTGTTGGTGCGTAAATGTATATGTTTGAAAATGCCTCAAAGCTTTTTTCCAAACTCCATTAATAATATAGAATTTAATCGGATTCACTTTTAGAGTGCAGAAATGACAGAACTTGATGGAATTGACGCTTCCATCTATTTTACACCACAGCCATCACCAAACCGCCTAGCCCACATCGCAAAACGCTCCTATCAAATCAACGACATATTTAATATCAATATTCGACGACGATGGCGACGACGATGATGATGATGATAATAATGCTAAATTCAAAATCAAAGCTCTTCATTTCATTTTGATGGGATCTCTTTGCGTGCGCGTGTGTGTGTTTGAGCGTTATAATATTTTGACATTTGCTATGGTTGTGCTTCATTTAAACGCACCAATGATTTATTTTACACACATTTCACCATATGAACATCGCTTTTCATCGCATAACACATCGAAATATTCTAAAAGTGGACCCTCTCTCAGTATCGAATGTGTGTGTATATCTGTTGGTATTTGACAGCATTGTTGACTGACGATGTACCGTCGACACACATAACGATATTTCGATAATGAAATTGATAGTTGATGTGTGCTAAATGTATGTGCCGATAATAATATATCGTAAAATTTTATCGATTGGCACTCTCAAAATGAGAACGAGTTGCTTGAAGAAAAATTAAATTTCTACATACACCCCATGCATCCATTCAGACAAATACACACGCATACGTACACGTCGAAACGAAAGAATGAAACTGGGAGATGAGCATTTCACAGTCAAGCCAATAGCGCAAATATAGTCAACATGGCAAACGACAACGAACCGCATATTTTAATTCGGTACCAATCTGAATAAATATGCCCGTTCACTTTTCCTTCATGCGCTTCCATAATGTTATTTAGCAATCATCTGCACACATACATGGCATATAGATTGAGTATTATTAGACTATTTGTTTTTGATAAAAAACCATGCGTTCGAAGTTTTCAAATTTACCACCGAAACCGGAAACTTTTCATCTAAAGCAAAACCATCAACATTAACGATTTAATATAGTTGTGCATACGCCCTCCATCTCACGACTCCTCTCTTTCATTTTAATTTTTTTGCTTCTGTTTAATGTATGTGTTTCAATTTTGGCATTCTTTTGGTGTGCTATGTTATTAAACACCCATGTTAAATCACATTTATCGACTCAAAAAAAACCATATTATATAACTCTTCCAGAGAATAGAGATTTTTGGACATTTTCCTTGTCTTCATACACTCATTTTTGTCTGCCAGAAACTTTGGCCAATGAGCGTTCCGTTATACGTCTATGTATGTGACACTTTTGTTTCTATGCAGGTAAAACTTGTCCAGTTTACACTTATAATCGAATTCTGAGTGAAGTTAAAGCAAATGGAAAAAACCATTTCCAGATATTTATTTCTCTTTTATGTTAAAGTGTGTGTGAGTGTGTTTTTTTTCTTGTTTCTTGCTACAGCAACGCAAAATTATCATCAACGGACTGCTAATTTTCATGTACTAATTTGGTTTAACTGATAAGAATTTCAAAGTGAATGTGAAAATTCAAAACAAGTTTAGCATAGCTACCAACTCAACTTGGTTCACTTAACTACTATGACAAGTCCATCATTTGGTTTGTTTTCTTGTTCTCGCCTGCACCAATTAATATTCTGTTATACATGAAATACAGAGAGAAAGACCGTTTGAAAATTAAAATGAAGAGAAATAGAGAGAGAGATAGAGAAAAGGTAAAATGCTGAACTTGGGGTTTTTCTGGTTTTTTACCAGTTGAAAATTGTGAATGCAAAAGTTTTTCTGTGGTCGCATGCTAGATAATTAGCATTTTGCATTAAGCTTGATGTCAAGAGAAACTAAGCGAGCGAACAAAGGCAAGATCAAAACGCCAATTGATGGAGGAGCATCATAAACAAATGACAAACATACACACAAAAAGAAGAAAAGAAGTTGTCGCATGCATTCATAATGGGAATGGTGTTCGGTCACAGAGGAAATGGAATAATAAAATGACATTAAATAATTTCTTCCTGATTATACTCAACAAATAATACTTTGCACCCATGACACACATCCAATGTGAGCGATATTTAGAGTGTGTAAGATTTGAGCGAGAAAAAACGGGTGACAGCACCGAGTTTGGAACAATGCGACTAAAACAGCAATCGCACAACCAGTTCATGCACATAAATGAACACCGAATAAAATCTCCAGAGGCTCGTAAAGATCGAAATTGATATGATACTT